TAAAAAATTAAATTAAACTATATATATATATAAAAGACAAACCATTCATTTAATATATTTATATATCAATGAAGTTTAACTAAATTAGTTTAAAAGAACGTGTGAGTATTATAGAAAAAAAATGTAGATTTTTTCTTTTGCTATATTTATTTTATCGAAAAAACTGGTCAAATACATTTAAAAAATATAAGAAAAAAAATTATTGAAAAAATCATAGGCTTTTAGACTCTATAAGGATAGAGAAAATCATATATAAACAATCATAAATAAATTGATTAATCGAATATATATATGAATTTACGTTATATAAAATATTGTTTTTTTTATTGTAATTTTATGTTAAGTCAAAAATTGAATTTTTATTCTTAATTAAGGAATTTTCCCTCATTAACATATATTTTTTTAATATAATTCATATCTAATTCTTATACTATTATTTTTTTATCGATAACAAAAATTGTAATGACAAAATTTAACAAATCTTACATCTTATTTAATAATTATTTTTATTGATTATATATTTTTTAATAAACTTTAACAAATAAGAGTGAGTGTATTAAAAGAGGTACATTAAAAAAATTGTATCGCTAACATTTTCTATACCTTAATTCCCTATTAAATTAATCTTAATGATTACATTTATGAAATACTTTTATATATTTATTAAATATTATAAAATCTACATCATCTATAAAATACGAAATCCAAGATTATACCATGTCTATTTATATGCTTACACCATGTCTGTTTTTATTTGTTTAAAATAGTGTATAATTGAGCTTAGGTATGACTTCATATTACCCTATTTCACAAGAGATAGATTTCTCCCCATCAACATATTTTTAGCATCACAGGTTCACCTAGTGTCAATTCAATTACCATTATTAGGCTTTTAATAAAACTTATTATAGTATTGTAGGCACTTTATTTTTGTAGCAGTTAGCATAGTGAGAATGAGTTATCTACTCAATTTTCCTTGTCTAACAATAAATAAATAAACAAACAACTTGATTGTGGCACTTGTGACTTGTGATACATGCTCGAGTTTATATAATTTTTTTTTTCCCTTGAAACATTTTAGTGTAATACGTAGTTTTTTAATTTCAAGTTAATTATTATACAATTGTTAAAACTTATATTCTTGAAGCGAATATTAGACATTAAATCAAGTTAAAGGACCGAGTGTAAGAAAATATCAATTCTTCTTTATTCTCTATATATTTAT